AATGAAGATGTTTGACAGCGAATACTACGCCAAAAAGGCACCAAATTTTCATGGTTTCTCAATTTTACATACCGGGCCATTTTGCTCTTAAAATTTTGCGCGGTGGATACGATGATTAATGTTATGAGTATGATACTTCTCGGGAAGAGTTAACAGCCTTTGATACGGCAGAAAAATGGGAAATAACCCATTTGAAAAAGTAATAATCATACGGTAAAGTCGCAAAGTGAGGGAGTTGTGCTACTTTGCCTCAAAATCATTGCTCTTTCAACATGTGAAAAGTTCAGTCTTGGTTTTTCATAATTCATAGAGCTTTTTGAGCAAGATTTGCAATTATTCTTCTTTTAATATTGTGAGAGATATGAGAGAGGAAATCGCAATGGCTGAAAAGTAATACCAGTAATTTTTTTTGTTATCTCTATGGAATTAGACCGATACATTTAAGTTGGAATGGTAAGTAGAGAACTCTTTAGGCTAGAGAAACTCTTCCTCGTACACTCAAAAGCGCAATTTGGCATCATTCCCTTTATTTCGCAAGCAACTCCGTGAACTTTATTGATAAGTAAGGACAATAAATAACAGCAACATATCGTACAGATCCCTTGATTTATTATTGAGCTTGCAGTTAATCTATTTACTTGTTTTGTTATAAACCAAATCAAGTTCGAGTAGTTCATTTCTTCTACATTGGAGTTTTGACTCGGCTGTAAGCATATCTCAAACAAGATGTCCTATTCAGGTAGGCAGAGCGGAATTTTGTTAACAATAATCGAGTTTTTTTTTTCATTATTTAGAAGTATTTGATGAGATTGACTCAACGGATTCAAACAGAGTTCCAGTGAGGACGGCTAGATACAGTAGGCCTATGGAGAGCGGCTTAGATCTAGAAAGGTGAAAAAATTGTGAACATTTTTTTGACTCTTCGAAAGAAGCTAACACTTCAAACAGCGCAATTTCAGACATACGAGCAATTTATTCTGTAGATGAAAGTTTTGCAAATAAAGTTTGAGTAAAATTATGACTTACCTTAAATCATGTGTGTCGGCTCTTCATAACAATGGTCTCAACGCAACGTACGTGGACCAGTCATAGAGAATAACAGCACAAAGACTTCTTCTCGTTTCAAATCGACTAACTTTCTTCTCTTTTGATCTGAATT